CCCAGGGACTGAAAATCTGAATACTTACAAGCTCACCAACTTGGACGGCATTGATCTGGCCCTGTGCAGAGCTGCTCCGACTGAATAGGGCATTGTCGAAGACTCCGTACACTGCTCAGTTCTCTTTATAAAGACCACCTTGATTCTTCCCTCAGGCCACAGGGCCAGCAAAAGCTGCCTTTTATCTTACCATGTTCATCTTACAGACACAGGAGACCTTGGAAATGAATTTCCCTTTTTACTCTCGCTGCCAGGAGCCACCAGCTGAATTTTAAGTCCTTTTCAGTACAGCAAAGAGCTTTTTTACAGAGTCGCTCTGTGATTCTATTTTACTAGTCACCCTTGTTTTCCTTGACCCCAAGCCTTTGTCTTTATTTTAAATCTCATTTAAGCTTATGACTTTTTATAAACCTCCACAAATGTTTCTGAAACACAAAAAAGAACAGATTACAATTTTTAAAGCTTCAAATACAGAATTTTTCAAGTTGTTTTCCTGAGAACATATTGTTCTGGTCTGTCGAAAAGCTGAAAGTATTTTTTTAAAAATCTTCCTTTCTGCCAAAAAGCACAATATCCTTAATGTAACTACTGATGGTGTGCCATAGTCAGAACACAGTATCTTAGGCAAAGTCCTGAAATTAGAATCCACAGCCACGGTGGATCCATATACTCACTTCCTGGGACTATCATGTTATATGGTCAAGCCATTTAGACTGGGAGACTGATTATTTGTAAAATGGAAATAATATTCTCTGTGTCCAAACACAGGTGTGTGGGTTGCACATGAAAAATGGGCAGTCTCATTATAGGCTGTAAGGTGTGATCTCAGACCACTAAGGATCATACCTGCCTTATTTCTCTCTCTCCAAACAGCAGTTTTCATTGTCCAAGAAACAGGGTGTTGAGCACTGAGCTCACTGCGGGTTGAGAACAAGATGTGTGCTTTGGATATTTTTCTTATCAGTGTTTTATTTTTCCTGCCTGTGGGATGCAGCAAAATTCAAATAAGCAAGAGGGATCCAAAGCTGACTATCAGTGAGTCCTCACTGGTGAAGCTTTAATGAACACCAAGCCCAGCCCAAGGAGCCAAACCTGAGCATCCCCACTACTAAGCAACAGGTTCTTCTCTCCTCTTTACCCTGAGCTCAGAGCCTGGCTACACATCAAAGAAAGGCCTTGGTTTATCTTCTCATCTCCCAGCCACCGCTCACCAATCCAGCCTCCTGACATCCTGCAGACTGGTCTTTCTAAACTGTAAATCTGACTCTGTCAATCCTCTGCTTAGTTCCCACTCCACAGAGGCCTAATAGCCTAAAAGTCAAGTCAAAGTTCCCAAACTCAGACCTTCCAAAAGCCAATTCTTCCCCAGGTTAATCTGCCACATCCATAGCAGCTACTGCTTTCATTTCAGCATCAAACTCCTCTCCAAACACTGTCTCTTCCAGCTCTGACCTTTCACATTCTGTACAACCCTGTGTCCCTAGCCCCACCTATCTGTGAACCTTCAACTTGAACTTAACAACCAGTTCCAAAGTCACTGTCCTTGGAAGCCTTCTATGTATGGCCCACAAGCCACTTCCTTTCCCTGTGCTCCTACAGTAGTGTGCTCCTCTCTTAGTTTTGGAATTCTGCCCAGGCGTAGCAGAGGGCCTGCACAAAGTGTTCAGTGTTGCTGAATGTGTGAATGAATCCTTTTTCTTTGCCAGGGAAAGGGAGGCCACTAGAAGGAGCAGGGTTTTATCTATTTGCTTCAACCCAAAACAACCACAATAGTAGCTGGTGAGTGGGAGGCACTCTGGCTAATTAAAGAGCTGATCAGATTTGCAAGGTTCCACTTGTGCATTCATCCTAGCACCATGAAGCAAAAGCACAGCCTCAGCCCATCTCCCCAGACTCTGTACTCCCACAATCTGGGGTAAAACAGTCTCACAAGATGGTCACAACCAAATTAGACTATAACCAGAAGCTGAGAGTCCACTGGATTGTAATATACATGTAAAAAGTAGGAAACTACCCAAATCATCTTTCAGAAACAAGTAATAACTTAAGGTATAAGGCAGACCCAATGAGTTACTCAGAAGCTCTGCATCCCAGGCCTGCTCCCCTGAGGTGAGCAATTCGACTGCACAGCTATTGTTTTGGTCTGGCCAGGGCCCTGCAACAAAATACTGCTTCCTCTGAGCACCTGCTCATACCCCTCCAAGCACAAGACTCTCAAGGAGGCTGGCAATGATGGTGCTCGTTTACAAGCACACACACTCCTGCCAAAGCAGGATGGCTCTCAGTACCTCCCCTACCTGGCCATCCTGACAGGAAGACAGGAGGGGCAGTGGAATATGAGTCCTCCTTCCTCTTCTGCAACAAACTGGAAGATGTGATCCAGCAGGGCTGGCTATGAGGGGTCCAGCCGCTTGGAACTAAACTTAGCAGATATAAGAAAAGGCAGCCAGCTCTCAGGGAGATAGAATCAGCCCTTCCAGTGACACACAGCAATAAATTTCCCCTTTGCCAAAATTAGTCAGGCTGGGTTTCTGCTACTCGAACAAAGTCCCACCCATAGAGTCCTCTGCCAGTTCCTCCCTCTCACTGTCACAGGACCCTTCCATCCCTTGCCAAGTATCTTAACCTCCTTATGAAGATGTGGTTATGTTATGCAAGGATACATCTTTCCATCAACAGCAGCCCAAAATTCTTTTAGAAGTGCCAGGGTTTATGTGACTGCATGAATTATGAAACCAACAAACAGTGCCTGACAGCAGAGGGATACATAAATAAAGCACAGCATATCTACTTGATGTAATGTCACACAGAGATTTCCAATGCTTATCAAGCTATGAGGTAAAAAAATTGCATATTATATATGAATACATAATTATACGCCTCATCACTCACCGTCCAAATTTTACTACATGAAAATGTTTATGATGGCAGTGGGAGAAGGATCCATTTTAAACTAAAAAAAAAAAATTGTTATCCAACAGTGAAGAGTATAAGAATGGACCACAAACACTGCAACTCTATCAAAGGATCTGCCAGCCAAGTTTACACCTCATCTACAAAGGCACACTACTCCACTCTCCTTTTCATTCAACTTAAGTGCCACCTCCTTCTGGAAGGTCTCCCTGATATAAGGATCTCTTTCATATAATAATAATTAGCTTTAGACGTCGTAGTAAATGGCAGTTAGGGTGAACTATTAACTTGACTGGCCTTGGGATCCATTCAGGAGATTGGGAGTGTGTCTGGATGGGTCACAGAGCCATGACCTTTATTTTAGGTCTATCACTGGCTCCTCTGTGGCACTGTTCCCTCCTCCACTTCCTCTCCACTGAGCATCTCTGCTCTGCCTTGAAGCCGGCCAACCATACATTGAAGCCCCCAAAATGGTGAGTCAAAAGAAACCTGTTACTTTAAGTTGTGGGTGTCAGGTATTGGATCTCAGTGACAAGAAAGCTGACTAATAATACAAAGTGCTTTATAAATTGTCATGTGTAACATTTCATCAACTGAAATCTTCAGAAATTACACCTGACATTTCCATCAGCCTATTAAGTAGATATATTTAGTGTTCAATAACTTTTATGAATGAGGTCTTCTGATAGCCTCAGTAAAATGGTGTGCTTCAATACTGCGGATGGCAATCCGGTGGACTAATTATCTGGTGGCATAATTAACTAATAGAAAATATTTGCCCTATACTACCCAGTAATCTCATTCTGAGAATCTAGCCTAGAGATTTCAAGAGAAAATGCCTTTATGCCTAAAGATGTTCATCATGCCATCATTTAAGCAGTCAAATTCTCTACCCAACAAAGGAGGAAAGTATTAAATAACTGTGTGAAAGCTATCAATGAAAGACTCTGCACCATTCAAAAAGTCTTCTGGAGCCTACACAACAGGAAAGATGCCTATGATAGAGTAGGTGAACACAGAACAGCACAGCCTCTTGACAGAGCGCAGGAGCACCTGGTGAGTAATAGTGGCAACCAAAAGAGATGTTTTGTTAGGGCGGTCTACTTGCACCTGACATTATCTTATTGCTTTAAATTTCAATTACTCATCTCTTAATGTTTAAAATGTTATTAAAATACACAAACATTTGTACTTTAGTTCTCTCAGTGTTTACAGTGTGATTTCAACCTGTGACCCTGGCATTCTTGCCAACAGCAGGCCTCAGAGAACAAACCATGGTACCCGTACCCGTGGCTCCTCTTTTGAGCTCCCTACTATGGACTGACTGCCCCAGGCTCTGGAGCAAGTAATTCAATTAACCTGAGTGTTAGTGATCACTTAAGACTCCACGCAACCTGACTGCACCAAGGCTATGTACCTAGATGTGACTGTGGGAGGGATTAAATTAAAAGATGCTGAGTACTTAAGTTTTGCTATAACTGAATCTTAATAAGCCTTCCAAATTTAGAGAATTTTCAAATGTTAACACCCAATGCTGAAATAGAGTACAGTCTTAAAAAAAGATCACAGAGAAATATGGCACAATCTTTGTTCCAGAACAATTTGAGTGTCTCTATAAAATAGCTTTAAAGATATAGCCACACTCTTTGACCCAGTTAATTATATTCCTATCAGAAATAATCAGTGGATAAATATTTATGTAGAATGTTTGCTGCAGTATTTGTACAAGGCAAAAAAGAATGTGAAATAACCCAAATGCTCTACAATAAGGTCCAAGTTAAATTGTAGCCAAGTGATGAAATATTATGCAGACCCAAAAAAATCATATTTCTGAAGAACACTCATGACACACAGCCAACACACCAAAGAATGGACACTGAAAAAAAAATAGGCTGCAAGACTATATTTTCAACTTGATATAGGGGACAGGGGAAGGGGCTAAAACATCAAATAGTTAAAACTGGACATTTCTATGTAAGGAGATGATGACTGAGTATCTCTTCACACTTTTCTGTTTTCAGCACTGAATAGCTTCTTCCCTGTAACAGAAACAGCCACATCAGAAGGGCCAGGCAGGCAGCACTCACGTGAACGGTGCGGGCTCCTTTGCTCCCCTCTCGATGGGCTTTCTCCAAGTCCCTCTCCAGTCTCTCCTTCTCCTGCTGCAAGTCACTCAGCTCCTGGGTGACCTTCTTAATGTTCCTCTGCAGTCTATGGTTCTCTGAGCTCTTGGTGAGGTTTTCCGAGTGCAGCTCAGCCAAAAGGGCTTCCTTCTCTGTCAGAGCAGCCTCAAAGTCTTCAGACCCCTAGCAGAGAAGGGAGGGGAGGGGAGTTGATTTTCACACCTCATTAAACCAAGAACTCTGTACTCTGTTTTCAGCTTGGGAGGGAAAAGTTAAAGAAAACAATTAACACAGACAACATTCAACATAAAGAGCACAAATAATATGCTTTTGGACTAAAAAAGGGTAATGTTTATGGTATAATATTGATGGGAAAGAGGGAAGTCAACTTGTGTAAAAGAAGTAGTCTAAATTCAAGAAGGAAAAAGCACAAAATGTGAACAGTGACTGACTTTAGTAGTGTGGGAGTAAAGTTTTACTATCTTCTTCATTTCTCTGTATTTTCAAATGTTCTAAGATAAATATGTTACTTTTAAAATGGTTTAAAAAATAAGTCACTTTAAAAGGTAGAAAATTAACAAGTTCCTTTGTAATGGGTTAAGTGCTAGTAGTGTTCATCTGTGTTGCGATGGCCAACCCAGGGTCAACTAAAAACAAAGCAGTGGTCGGCATGGTAGTTTAAAGGCTGGAACTTCAGCAGGGCCCAAGGGCTGAATGTGTCAAGAACATCTTTAATCTCATTAACGCTCATTAACAGTTCACCTAAAGAAACACATATACGACCACAAACATAAGAAAAGTTCTAAATCATCAATAATGAATTAAAATAAGTTCTCAGTTTTTGAGTAAGATTTTTTTAACAAGAATATCTGGGGCTGGCAAGCTTATTATACAATGGCACTCTTCATATTTACTCTCTTAAGAACTGGCCAAGCACCTACAAGCCAGGAAATATGTTGGGACGAATTTAAATTCATGTAACCCCTATGCACAGATTATATATATCAAGTTGATGTGTATAGTATAAACACGTTCACATTCATCTCAGTAATGTCATTGCTGGATTCAGGCTAAGAAGAATTCAAAATGTTGGTATGGGGATTTATATACAAAGTTATTCATCGTAGAATTACTTATGGTAGTAAACAATAAGAAACAATCTAAATATGCAATCATATAAAATTAGATAAAGAAGACACACAATAAAACTGTATTTACAAAGAATCAATAAGACGTGAACATCTCTACGTTACTATGTGAAAAGATCAAGTCGTAAATGATCTTTTAAAAATCTATGCTTAGAAGAAAGTCTAGAAGAAAAAACATCAAAATGTCAATATCTGTTGAGTGGTTTCTAGAGTTGTCATTTTTTTCTTCTAATTTTCTGGAAAAAATGCTGAAGCAGAGGAAACACTTTTTATATACACTCTTTATACATTTGTTTTTTCAATTAGACTGAGACTCAAGATTGAGAATTCAAAAGCAATGGAGAACTTCAATTGTCAACAACACAACCCAGATTGGAATAGAGGCCCATTTCATGGCATTCCAGAATATTCATTTCAACAACCATCATTAGCTAACTTAGCTGTTCAGATTGCCAACCCAGTTTTTCAGGAAGTAGACTACAACCAGTTAAATGGGTACTGGGGAGCTCTGCTGCTCTGGGCCACCTAAACCCAGACATCTCGCTTCTGACCCCCTAACTGCTGTTTAAAACACAGTAACATGAAACACAAACAGCGTTCAAATTCCAGTGTAAATTTATGAAAGCTTTTATAATTTCCTTTGAAACCAAAGTAAATAGAGGTAAGAAGCCTGATGCAAGTCAAGTTTATTTTTTTAATGTCTGTGACAATGCTTAAATAAACTCAAGAAGGTACACAATGATTGGAAAATCCTCATCTTGAACAATATTTACAGCTACCTTTTATTAAGCATTGATTTTATAAAAGGAGCTAAACCAAGCATAAGTGCATTTCCACACATGATGCATCTATTTCTCACACCAACCATAAAAGTACACGTGATGGTGCCCATTTAAGCAACTGAGGCTTCAAAACTGCTCAGTGCACATGCTGCCATTGGACCACAGGTGAAAAGTCTGGGATTCAGATGACAGAGACTGTGTTCTACCCACAGCAGACCCTTACCCTTATAAGTGGCAACTCAACACCAATAAACTAGAAAGAATAAAAACAAGGAGACTGAATGAGAGTGGGAAGGACCAGAGACAGGAACATCAGTTAGGCGCTTTCTAGACATTATCATGAATAGTTATGGTCAAATGACAAAAGTTTTTCAGGATTATCACACAAACTCAAGGACAAAGACTCTTTTTAAAACTCCAAGTTTAGCTGGGTGTGGTGGAACATGCCTTAAACAGGAGTTCAAGGCCATATGGGCTACATGGTGAGTTCAAGGCCAACCTGGACTACCTAGCAAGACCCTGACTTTACAAAAAAAAAAAAAAAAAAAAAAA